TATATGTACAAAATAATACCTATTTGTATCAATAGATGCATGTTAAACAAATTATGTGTGTGTGGTTCAAAGTAACATTCTAATAAATGACATATCTTTAGAGAATGAAACTCTTACGACTGGCCATTGATTTTTTGCCTTAAGTCATGTTGAATGTAATAAGCACATCTATATAATAAGGGAAGATGGTTTTTGAAAATCTATACAAATGTCTGAGAGATACATTTAATTTGGACGGCTGAGATGTCTAAAATGTTTAGATCAATGGTTTAGATCAATGGGTGGTTCCCGCCCAACACATTTCATTTGATTTGCCTATATCTATCCTCTGTCTCCTTCATACCCTCTGTCTACCATCTGTCTTCCCATACCCTCTACCTTCCCTCTCTATCTCCCTCTCTGTCTCCCTCTCTGTCTACCGTCTGTCTCCCTATTCCTACTCTGCACTGACTCTCCCCTCAGTATCTACCTTCCCTCTCTATCTCCCTTTCTTGCTCTGTTTTTGGGTTTATCTTATTGTATTGGGTTTGGATTTTGAGTTATACGGGTGATATTGAGCCAACTGGTATATACGGGTGAGTTATAGATATATGGAAAAGAAATTCTGCTCAGACTTTAACCAATTCTACAGGTCAGCATTGGTGATTTGTCTGCTCTGCCCATTTTGAGTTTAAATTCATTGAAGTTGATGTTGATTACCTTCTGGGAAAACACTTATTCCCTTTTTGTATTTAATGTATTTCCTTTGTTTAAACCTGATGATACTTCTTCTCTTTGCTGGACTTCTGCATTTGTAAACCATTATAGCCCTTATTGACCTGGTAGTAATTGATTTACAGGTTTGCCACTCTCAAGGAGCCAATCAGATTCAGCAAGGACGAGTCCTATTGGTGATCCAATAGAGGACAAAGTGGTATAAATTAAGTTTATTACTAAGTCGTTGTAATGATGGTCGACAGCTGACTAAAATCTATGCAGGATGTCTGTTCAGTACTGAGATCTGTACTACAATATTATTACATTACTTTGATCTATTTTATGTCTGTGGATGGCATGCAGATAGTGTCTGAGCTGAGAAATGCTTCAAATAGAAGATCAAATGGAACACCCATAGACCATGAAATGTCGAAAGAAGTTGAGTCCAAGCATAATCCTCCCAGTGTGGTCGCCAAGTTGATGGGGCTTGATACCCTTCCATGGCAACAGTCTGATTCTGCTGCGCAAAGAAGTCATTCAAGAGACTATGCACGAAGTCATTCAGGTATTCCTTTGGCTTATTGGCAGCAAGAACATGGATTGGACATGCAACTGCAATGTGAGATCCATCATTGTCCAGCGCATAATGAGTATAAGGATGTTTATGAAATATGGCAGCAATCACAGAAAGGAAGTTATGTAAGAGATAAATCACCACAGAAAAGAAGGTATAATGAGAATACAAATGAGAAAAAGATGGCCTTAGTTCGTCAGAAGTTCATCGAAGAAAAACGCCTAGCCACAGATGAAAAACTTCGCCAATCCAAACAATTCCAAGATGTGTTTGTTTTGGAATTTGTGAACAGGTGTAGCACCAATCACTCTGGGGACTTAATTATGCCAGATAAAGCAATTGATGGGATTTTTGGGTTTGGTCGACAGGTTCTGTCTGTCATATCACAGTTGTCATCCTGAGGGATTACTCCCAAGGTTTTCTCCCACTGCTTGAAAGAAGATGGCAACAGTGGCGGATTATTAGTTCTTGATGAGAGAGAGCCAAAGCCACACCAAATTTGAACAACACAGGCCTGATATCTCTATTCTCTTTCACCATCCTAATTGAAAAGCTCTAATCTAGACACATAGATACAGATATATACACATATATGAAGATCATGGGTCCTCTTCTTCCATCTACACGCCTAAATTCAGAAAAAATCAAACGACCCATTTGAAAAAAATAATTTATAAGCAAAACCCAATTCAGATTTTGGCGATTTATGACTCACCATCGGAGATAAAGATCGTATATGCATCGAGAAATAAAGCAAATGAGTTTGGAGACGATTTGGTGTTGTTGTGGGTCTTTTTGCAAACTCAAGTTTTTGTGACTTTCATGAGTTTGAGATTTTGTCTTTCTTTTGAGAGTTTGAGACAGTTGTGTATGAAAACCCATAATTTAATTGAGTAAAGTCTTATGACGACTGGCCATTGATTTTTTGCCTTAAGTCATGTTGAATGTAATAAGCACATCTATATAATAAGGGAAGATGGTTTTTGAAAATCTATACAAATGTCTGAGAGATACATTTAATTTGGACGGCTGAGATGTCTAAAATGTTTAGATCAATGGTTTAGATCAATGGGTGGTTCCCGCCCAACACATTTCATTTGATTTGCCTATACCTATCCTCTATCTCCCCCATACCCTCTATCTACCATCTGTCTTCCCATACCCTCTACCTTCCCTCTCTATCTCCCTCTCTGTCTCCCTCTCTGTCTACCGTCTGTCTCCCTATTCCTACTCTGCACTGACTCTCCCCTCAGTATCTACCTTCCCTCTCTATCTCCCTTTCTTGCTCTGTTTTTGGGTTTATCTTATTGTATTGGGTTTGGATTTTGAGTTATACGGGTGATATTGAGCCAACTGGTATATACGGGTGAGTTATAGATATATGGAAAAGAAATTCTGCTCAGACTTTAACCAATTCTACAGGTCAGCATTGGTGATTTGTCTGCTCTGCCCATTTTGAGTTTAAATTCATTGAAGTTGATGTTGATTACCTTCTGGGAAAACACTTATTCCCTTTTTGTATTTAATGTATTTCCTTTGTTTAAACCTGATGATACTTCTTCTCTTTGCTGGACTTCTGCATTTGTAAACCATTATAGCCCTTATTGACCTGGTAGTAATTGATTTACAGGTTTGCCACTCTCAAGGAGCCAATCAGATTCAGCAAGGACGAGTCCTATTGGTGATCCAATAGAGGACAAAGTGGTATAAATTAAGTTTATTACTAAGTCGTTGTAATGATGGTCGACAGCTGACTAAAATCTATGCAGGATGTCTGTTCAGTACTGAGATCTGTACTACAATATTATTACATTACTTTGATCTATTTTATGTCTGTGGATGGCATGCAGATAGTGTCTGAGCTGAGAAATGCTTCAAATAGAAGATCAAATGGAACACCCATAGACCATGAAATGTCGAAAGAAGTTGAGTCCAAGCATAATCCTCCCAGTGTGGTCGCCAAGTTGATGGGGCTTGATACCCTTCCATGGCAACAGTCTGATTCTGCTGCGCAAAGAAGTCATTCAAGAGACTATGCACGAAGTCATTCAGGTATTCCTTTGGCTTATTGGCAGCAAGAACATGGATTGGACATGCAAATGCAACGTGAGATCCATCAGTGTCCAGCGCATAATGAGTATAAGGATGTTTATGAAATATGGCAGCAATCACAGAAAGGAAGTTATGTAAGAGATAAATCACCACAGAAAAGAAGGTATAATGAGAATACAAATGAGAAAAAGATGGCTTTAGTTCATCAGAAGTTCATCGAAGCAAAACGCCTAGCCACAGATGAAAAACTTCGCCAATCCAAACAATTCCAAGATGTGTTGGAAGTTTTAAGTTCTAACAAAGATTTATTCGTTAAGTTTCTGCAAGAACCAAATTCCCTGTTCTCTTAGCATCTGTATGATTTGCAGCATGTTTCCCCACCTCCCGAGACTAAGCGCATCACTGTTCTTAGACCTTCAAATGATATATATATTTAGTTATAGGGATTATATCAGACAAATCTATAGTATTTATATCAGACAAATTTTGCACAGACCAATATATGGAAAAGTATTTTTAACTGCTTAGTTCAATAGAGTTATTGAAAACATGACTTTAACCAATTCAGTATTATTATTTAGTGTTGAAAACATGACTTCAGTATTCTCTCATTTTTATCTTAATTGAAAACATGACTTTAGTATTCTCTCATTGATTCGGGTAATTGTTCTTCTTCTTGAATTTTTTTTTTCCTCTCTCAGCTTTTGCCTTCATCAGAGCTTCTGTGGATCACTCTGACCACTTTCACCGTTGTTCACTCCGGCTGTGACATCACTTCGGCTGCTCGGCTATTCACTTCGGCTACTCGACATCTTGCTCGGCTGCTCGGTTAGTTTATTACTTTGGTTCTTATTTTTTTTTTGCTTAATTTTTTTTTCTGCTCGGCTGCTCAATGCTTTGGTAACATTTGGCTACTCGACATCACTCTTTTTCCTCTCTCAGCTTTTGTTATTTCTTTTGTTATTGCTTTGCTTTGATATTGAGCCAACTGATATATACGGGTGAATTTTGTTCTTTTGTTATTGAGCCAACTGCTCTGTTTTGTTAAAGAAAACAGTTGCTTTGTTAAAGAAAATAGTTGCTTTGCTAACAAAGTGACTATACCATGGTTGCTATGGTTTAGACTATATCATGGCTGCTTTGTTAAAGAAAATAATTGCTTTGTTAAAGAAAAAATAATTGATATTGAGCCAACTGCTTTGTTTTTTATCTCTTTTGTTGCTCTGTTAAAGAAATAACAAAAGAAAAAAACTGTTTTTTTCTTTTGTTAAAGAGTAGTTGCAAAGGCTATGTTTTTTATCACCAAAATCAGTTGGCTCAATTTTTTATCACTAAAATCACCAAAAATTCTGCTCAATGTTTTTATTACTGTTTTTTATTCTATTTTTTATCACCAAAATCACCAAAAATTCTACTCAAAAATTCTGCACAATGTTTTTTATTCTGTAATTAAAAATTTTGTTTTTTATTACTGTCAACTGTTTAAATTAGTGATGAGAGACAAAAATTCTGCTCAATGTGTTTACTGTTATGAGAGACAATTTTTATGTTTTTCCAAAAATTCTACGCAATATGTTTTTCCAATAATATATATGGATGTGAGCATGAATTTAGATGTTATGAAAGACAATTTTTATCATTAGATGAATATTCAATTAAGTGAATTTTTATCATTTCATGCTCACATTCAATTTTTATCATTTCATGAATTTTTATCATTAATTGAATAGTTGGTCCAGATGATGATATGTGAGCATGCATATATATATTATAAGAGACAAAAATTCTGCTCAATGTGTTTACTGTCAAGATATTTGTCTAGGTATATAATTTATTTGGTGTCTGACATACACCAAAACAATATATAATCTTTATTTGGCTCAAACTCAACATCACACTAGCCACTCCTGAACTAGATGAATCTCTCACTATCTCAAATGTTGCGTGAGGAAACCTGCCATCTTCGCCTACCAGGGTCAATTATAGTCCCTCTTTTGCCTTCTCTTTGTGGCAGCAACCCCCATGATATAGTCACTTCGACTGCTCTATTTTTTATCACCAAAATCAGTTATTGCTTTGCTATGTTTTTTACCAATTTTTGTCTCTCCTCCTTTCTCTCAGTGTGTTGGGCCCATGCTATAGATTTTTTGAGTTCCTGCTATCGGATATTAACTGCATTTTCAGTGTGTTGGCTCTGTGCTTATGGTTATTTACTTCCAATATTTAGCCATTAATTTGGTTTTTTCAGAGTCATGCTAATAATTTTTAAGTTATTTACAGAACCAAACAAGCATCAGACATGTAGAAGTATAGCATGGGCTAGTGGGTGTGAAGTCCATGTCCATGCAGTGTTGTTAGTGAGTTGCTATGACTCTGCTCAATTTGGAATAGTAAGAAAAAGAAAATTGTTTTCTCCATTTTAGCTCCAAAAACTCACGAACGTTAAATAGTTCTTTGGCTCTATAATTGATTATTCTTTTTAGAGGTCCAAATGATGATATGGACAAAAAAATTTATTTTTTATTTTTTAATTTGAGAGCTAAATTCGTAATTAATTTCAAACTCCAAATCCAACATCTTAAGTAATAGATTCTAATAAATTTGTAAGTTTTTTAAGTGTACACATATAAACATATAGAAATTCCTATTTGTACGGGGATGAAATAATTCTCCTCGTATAATCCTGTTGACCAAGTCCACGCTCCTCCGTACGACGTCGCTTTAGTACCTGAAAATACAAACGTGAGCTAGCCGGCGGGTGTGTGCCGGAAACCTCTCCGATGCCTAAGTCAGAAAACTTGACAAATAGACAAAGCTCTATGTTCTCAGAAAAGATTTGTGTTCAATTACCTCCTCCAAGGTGATGTTTGTGGGCTTTTATAAGTTTCCCGTGGCACAATCCTGGTAGGACTTGTATTTCTCCATGTAGAGTCCTGACAGGATTCATACTCCAAAGGATAATGCTTATCCTTTTACACCCTCCCCCACTGCTTAAACCAAGTGGGATGGTTTACCTCTTGGCCGAACTTCCACGTGACCGAAGTAAAATTGGCTATACTGAGCCACAGAGGGCCGAACTCTCCTTAGCTCGGTCTTCTCCTCTAACTCCTTACCTCGGCTGCCCCTGTTCAACCCTGGTGTGTTTAGATCAAACTTCCAAGTAGCAAGATCTGACCGACCTAACCATAGTATATCACGACCGGACTAATTCCGAAACCGGCCTACCCAGAACACGGCGACCGGACTAACTCTGAGACCGGCCTAACTTCAAGCTGCCTCCGGACCGGAGTAGCTTTACTCTTCTTTGGGCCGAAGTAACTATCCCTTCTTGAGCCGGGGTAACTACACTCCTCCTGGGCTGGAGTAACATTGCAGCCTTTTTTACCTAGCCCTTGGCAATTTGGGCCACAAGGCCCATCACATAACTCGGCCCAATTTTTACCAAAAATTACCCTCTCACTATTTATTCGGTTAATAACATCTAAATTCATGCTCACATGCATATATGTTATTGGATAGTATCTAAACTGTAATCAATTTGTAAGCTTTTATCAATAGAATCTAAACTGAACATATCAATAGATTATACATAAAGAAAGCTGCAAAACACCAAATTTATGAATTCATTTATATAAGAAATTTGAATTTTGTAATTAATAATACTCACAAAATGTAATCGATGCTCCGGAATAATACTCACAAAATCTAAACTAATAATACTCACAAAATTTATGAATATGGATGCTCCGGATCTGTTATATCCCTCACGAAATGTAATCGATTCAAGTCAAAGATCACAACAGTTCAAATTCCAATAACAATCCTCACCTATTAATTGAATTGACCTCAATTCACCTAAGTATAGCATGGCCCTGTTTTAAGCTTCAGAGGAGTTTCAGAGGTGTGTTGAACTTTATTTCCTCCGTGCCTTTAGGCACAGGTTACCTATATGGGTTATGAGAGAAATGTTTGCTTTGAATCTCAAACTTTTTATATTTTTTTAGTTTCTTCATATATTCTCTCTATATAATTTTTTTGTCAAAAAATATTACAACTTCTCTTTAAAAGTTACTCGATCTTCTTATTTTGTATTTACTTAATATTAATATTAATAAAGAGTTTACACACAAAATAAAATAAAAAATAAAAAATGCCTCAAATTTTGAAAATAAATGCAATGAAAATGCCTCTGTTTTGAAAATAAATGCCTCTATTTTGAGGGGATTGAAAATAAACATTCATCTCCAATTTTAATTATATAAATGCCTCTGTTTATGAGAGAGTAAAATAATATTTGTTTATAATTAAAAAAATTCCATTAAACCAGTGAATAAAAAACAGGGCAAATATTTTGGCCAATATTTTGTATTTTGTATTTGTGTTTGCATACCCCAAGGCAACCATAAACAATATGTAAGCAAAGTTTGTTCGCAGCTCATGAAAATACAACCTGTTCAGGGGCCAAAGAGCTGTACCAAACGAAATATTACACCCCCAGCCTAAGATACAATTCTTCCAACAATCTAAATCTACATCAAAGTTTAAAATTCCCACCGACCATTCTTTAGTTTGTTGTATGGTTACTTGATCTGAAATGAGTTTTGAACATCTAATCAAGTAGAAAGCTAAGCCACTTTTAGTTATAATAAAACCACCACAATGAATCATATTTAAAAACATATAGCATTTGTATTTTCATGCAACATTTTTAATAATATTGACCTTTCAATTTTAGCTTTACAATGGTCATTTTTTAAAATATTAAAAAGTCAAGAAAAATAAAATATGAACAAATCAAAGCTAAGTATAAAATGTTGGAAATGGTTATAAAATTCTGGATAAAATTAGAATTTTTTCTTAAGTTCGGTCTATTTTTTAGGAGGGCCCCGAGTGTCGATTTACTCGGGTCAAAGTGGTAACGCGTTCTATGCCGCGTTGTGATTCACGTGGTATATTTGGTTGCTCAAAACCATTACCAAGTGAATGGGAAATTGAAGCCAAAGTGTGCTCCATGGAAATGGAGTTTTGGTGGAAATTCCTTAAGGTTGTAAATTGACTTGTCCCACATTGATTTGGTGGGAA